ACCCAACGTCGAGCGCAGATGCGCTAAGAACAAGCAAGCAATGCTGAGTGCGGCTTGTTCGAGCTTTTTTTCATTCTTCCGGACGAGTACTAGTGGCTACTAGTAAGTGTGCGTTCGCACAGATTTGTATAAGATAGTAAGAACAGTAATCTCTCAATATTATCGCGATTATTTACTAAATTATAAAGTTGAGTGAATTCCTCACATTACAACTGATGGTGTGAGGTATCCGAAACTAAAGCATCTTTGCGCGTGAGCCAGCCAGTTGTAAGGGCGTTTATTGATCGGTCTAATCGATTTCCGTACTAAGACTGTTTTATCAGANTTTTTTTTTGAAAACCTCGTACAATGCAGAGATAACGTCTACATATCACGGGTTGACGACCACAGGTGTTTCCTGGTACCGTAACTTGTACAGTAACTTGCCCGCACTCGCTCAAGGTGGGATCATCGTACCCAGGAACGGCTGCTCTTCACCCATCTGAATTCAATCGAATCGTGACCCTTAATATCGATTAAGTTAGTTTCGAATATTTCATGTCCCAGAGATGGATCGTTATCCCTCCCATAAGGGAACTCTCTCCGTCCGCACGATAAAGCAGCTGATCACACTGTAGTAGTGTGGCTATAGTAATCCCTCGAAGGAATCATCAGGCCACTGACGGTGTTTGGCTTTAGAAAAGTTGAAGTTCCGAATAAATCCTAGCCAACTGATTACGGAAGGAAAGGACCAACCACATCGAAAGGAAGTAATCAGCTCTATTCAATAAAAAGTACAGTAAATATGGCATCATCACAGCATTTCTCTAAGTTTTGTGATAGCCTATTGATATAGCGCTGATAGAACTTGTCATCCAATTACTCGAGTCAACCAGTCAGCTATTGACACAACTGTTTCGTAGCGCAGAATTTCTTCTTCCGCAGGGATGCCCTAATGATTGAAAGGAATGGAAGTCTGTTGGAAACTTGCCAGATCAGTTAGTCGGTGTGGTCGAGCATTACCGTGTTCTGCTGCTACTTCTTAGCACCATTGTATTCCTTAGGTACTAGTAGGTTGAAAGAGTGAAGGCTATTTAGGGGCTGTTTATAGATGACCATTTTGCATAGCGCCCAAATTTCCAAAGGTGTCACCTTTAGCGTCCTTGATCTATCAAACACCCGTTGGGGGACCAAAAGCATGAAAAATCTGTGGGAAAAACGAGTGTGAAGTTCAAGACATGTCCGACAGTGATCGGAAATCAAGGGCGCTGTAGCACGTGTCCCACGGTCTCTAGCAACTGGGCCGACAGACATGTCGTGTGTAACAATTAAACGGAGTAATCGTTGAGATGCAGTTGTCATCGAGGCAACAAGGGCCAAATGAATATTAGAAGAACGGGAAGTTTTTAGCCTCCCTAACTCACCTTGAGAGGTCAGCAGGGCTTACCTACTTTGTGAGGTTCGCTGCCGACAGAGCCGAAAAGGTGGCAGGATGGGCACTTATACAGGTTGAAATGCTTGAACTGCCCCGGTTGAATACCCATACCTATTACTCAGAAGGGAGAAGGGGAGATATGGATAAGTGCCGTGGTTAGTCGAGGATCTGACCATGCAGTGGTGCAAGGCGACATAACCACTCGCACAGACCACGGATCGAATCCACCCAGTATCAGCTAAATTTACAAGCTCATCAAAACGGCTAACAAACGACCACACCTTTCAACCCGCCCGCGATAGAAACGACGATAAGAACAGGAAGCGTCATGGTGAACCACCTTCACCTTTGATGTAAAGATCAATTTGCAAGATACTATCCCTTCCAAAAGTAAAAAGACCTGATCGGGTAAGCAGTATATCGTTGGTCTCAGGAATGGCTTCTTAAGTGCTTTGGACGAAATCGGAGACATCCTTCTTACTACGTACAATAACAACGCTTACCTACTACCACTAACTTTCAAATAAAATGAGCCCCGAACTACTCGAAATCTGAAAATGGGAGGGAATTTTCTGGGATCTGGGATCGTCATGGTAAACCACCTTCGCGTGAGATCTGATAGCCCTAGCCACCACAATAACTAACTTTATTCGTGCATGAGTAATCGAATCAGCAGTAATTTATAGCCGCTGCAAGTAGCCAATCATGCGAACCTGTGAACAGACTTTTTCGTTCCCCATGTTAAGCTGCACGATTATCGATTGACTTCTGTACGATTATCGACTGGCGTCTTGCAGGGGTCTTTTCTAGTGTGGCACAAGATTTTTTCTTGTTGTAACCTGACGGAAATGACCACATGCAACTCGTGTTTATAGCCACGAAAAGGAATTGTTGCGCAAAGGAAATGGCCAAGGTCACTGTGCTGAACGATCAATCGTTTTGTTCAGTGGTTTATGGGCTCTGAGTGTCAGTCACTCTTGAACTTCGAGGTGATGACGACTCTACATAGCATGAATGAGGTATTGTTCATGTTGTCACGACTGTAAAGTTGTCCACGACATAACCAAGCAGGACAACACGTTGAAGGCACTCTGAGTGGGAGACGGGCGTTAGGAACGATTTTGGGTAATCGATTCGCCGCCCGCGGCTGTCGCGGACCACCCATTCGCCGTTATTACAGCTCTAGCGTTCTTCATACAGCCCAATCGATATGCGATCATTATTTTGTGCATAATTCTACTATTATTACTTTTGTTCTTGTATTCCTTGCCTACTGCTGCATCCTGCTATTAGGTTGGCAAATAAGTCCTGCGACAAAAAATTTGAAGCGTTGAAAATTCGTATCAACAGTGTGATCACGGTAGCAAGGGTGATGGACTTGTAGGACATTCCTCAGGCAATCAACACATGAGTAAATAAGGGCACGCCTGT